CAAAGATGAGGATTGGCATTGGATTGCTGCCGGGAGCAGAGGGGGAGGAATTGTGCCTGGATCACTGGACATCTCGAGGGTGGAAGTGCCAGCAGTGTTTGGTCTGTCACAGCAAATACCTGCAGCTGGGAAATGGCGTTAGAAAGAGAGATGGAAACGGACTTAGAACACCCAAAGACAAAGCAACGTTCTTGAAACACGGCAGCATCGTGTTGCTGTTAACAGTCTTGCACCAGAACGTGGTTTGGGGTAATGCTTTGCAGACAACTGCAGACTTCTGGAGACCAAGAGGAGGAGGGGGAATGGCCAAATAACCACATGGTTGTGGTTCTGCGCGTGGAAGGACAGTGGGAGCGGGTTCTGAGGTGCGCTGGCCGCAGGTAAGTGGAGCAGCGAGGTTGGGCTGGGAGCCCTGTTCCAGGCCTGTGCTTTCTTTCCCATCTGCCCTAACGTCAGGGTGACCCACGCTCAATTAGCAGCGCATCTGAGCTGCTCCTTTCAGGAGTGAGTGTGTGGTGAGCGTGGGGCGGGACCCGTCTGCCTTTGCCTCTTCCCCTCTTTTCATTTACTTCCTTATTTCATTTCCCTGTAGAGCTTCTCATTTTCTCTGATGCAACCACAGCCTGAGAGCTGCGAACGCCAACCACTGTCCTCGCTGCATACAGATCATGGCTGTAATCCACCACCCGCACCCAATGCTCCAAGGAAACATCTTTTCTGCTCCTTTCAGCGTGCAAGATAATTAAGGGATCAGCTAAGCTCCCTGAGAACATCTTGTGATGGATGTCTACAAACGTCCCAACAAGCGCCCGCGATCTCCGTGCTCAAAAGGAGCAATGCTTCTCAGCGTGCAACCGATACAAAACACCATGGAGCAGATTCTCAGCTCCAAAATGCTGCTTTTCAACATAGCCACTGCCGTCAGCTGTGCCCAGTTGCTCTCCCAGCTTTATTAAGATATGGTGCACAGTCTTTGAGGCTGGAGTAGTTTTCAGTGTGCTGAGCACAATCCTTCAGTTCACCCCATTCCCACGCGTTGCACCCACAGTCCCAGAGGGGGACAGTGCTGCTCCTGGTGCTGCTCAGTGACTTTGGGCCCATTCTTAGTGGCTTTCATGGCTCTTGGAAACCTTCTGTCCCTCAACTTCTGGTGCTCTCATGTTACTCTGAGTGCAGAACACCGTGCTGACGTTTTGGGATGGATGCATTACTCTGCTGCTGCTGCTGGACTTATCCCAGTCCTCATCAGCTTGTTAGCTGATCTCGTCTGCCTGCATCTGAGTAATAGGAATAACTCAATTCATTTCCTTGTGGGTTGTGTCACCTTTTAGAGAAATTCAGTGATGTTGGTGTGAATTTAAGCTGCTTCTGTCAGCCTTGTGCTGTGGCAGTAATGACAACCCGGGGCAGGAGGGGGATGTGGTGGCATTGCAAGAGGTAAATGCATCCAGCAGCACACACAGCATGTACAAAAGACTGTGGAGAAGGCTGCCCTCGGGAGCAGTGTCGTAAGGCTTTCATTGGAATGGGAATTTGAACTTAGGAGCACAGCTGCAGTGGGTAATGCTGATAAACTACTGCAGCATCCCGTTCTGCTCAGCCTTGGCTTTGGGCTCTGGGCAAAAGATACACTTTGTTTTTCAGTTGAGAACCTAAAAGTTATGCGTGTGTATATATACATATTAACATGTAATATATATTGGTATGTGTTCGTGTATATAAAAAGGTTTAAAAATAACTGTTAACACCTTACGGCATGCAGCCTGGGCAGCAGATAGAGGCTGCTGCCATAAGATGACAGCTTCAGTTCCACCTCTGCTGCTCTCTGCCATCACCTCGTAGCTGTTCCCCAATGCTCTGAGCAGCCTCATGGAAGGGGACAGGGCTGTGCCATAACCCCAGCTGCTGTGGGCAGGGCTGCCAGTCCAGTCATGTCCTCAGCTCCAGGCAGCAGGGTAGAAAGGATGGAGAGGGGTTTGCTGCCCCAGATAAGGCCTTTGTCTTGCGGAGCGGCCGTGTGTGGCATTGGGAATGCTTAGCACCGAGGTCCCGTCCTGGGGTGGCAGAGCTGCAACCTACACCTGGCAGATGTTGTAGTGCCCTCCCATCTGCTCAAACAGAGTGTCCTCAAGGTGGATCACGTTGTCTTTGGGATGCAGAAGTGGGGGCTCTGCAGAAGGAAACTTGTCTGTGTCGCTCGCTGTGTCTTGCTGTGAGAAAAGATAAAGGTGCTGTTTCAGTTTCTTAACCAGCCGCGTTCTTTGTGTCTGCGTGGCCTCAGAGTGCCCCGTGCTCCCAGAGTAACCAACCAGCCGTACCTTCGGGGGCTTTGGGGCAAAGTCTTTCTCACAGACATGTTGTATGATGCCAGCAGCCAGCGCGTCCCCGAGGACATTGGTCATGGTCCGAAATCGGTCCCTGGAAGAGAGAAGCACTGAGGCTGCAGCCAGCGGTCCCACATGGCATTGCAGCGCGTGGCGTGCAGCCCTGCTGTCCCTGCTGCTGCCAGGATGGCAGCGAGTGAACGCAGAGGGGTTTGGAGCTCCCAAACTTCTTGTCCTGAGATCATCCTGCTCCTCACCCGCCAGCACAAGGCTGCCCCGCGGGTTGGAGATGGTCCTTGGAAAGCACCATCTGTCTGTGTAGGAAGGCCAGTATCATTTCCCTTCCGATGGCGTGCAGCTTGGAAGGTGGATGCTGCCTACTGGATGTGCCCATTTCCTGCTGCATGGTTTTATTCAGCACCTCATGCTTTTATCCTAAGCAGTGGCATTTTTCCACCTCTTTGGTGGCATCCCCATATCCTTCCTATCTATCTCTTGCACACGCATGATTTTTTTTCTTAACTTGTTTGTGATCTCTGCAAAGATGTGGCGTGCAGCAGTGATAGTGGTGAGCACTCCAATCAGGACCAATCGGGTAAGAAGTTTTTGCTGATTGTTATCATTTTGGGAAAAGAATAGGAAAAGGAACGAGCTGACGCTTGGCTTCTGGCCTTGTTCTGAGGTCAGTCCCCATTTCCTCTACTAGAGGGAAGTCCCAGTGTGTCCCCACTGCCGTGTGGTGTGACACACACACACCGTGTGCCCAGAAAGGACTTACAGGGCCCAGTCCACTGCAACGATGAGCGTGATGTCAGCAGTGGGCAGCCCCACCGAGGTCAGCACGATGACCATCGTGACGAGTCCTGACTGTGGGATCCCGGCCGCCCCGATGCTGGCTGCAGTTGCTGTTATGCTGTGGAGAGAAGGGCTGCGGGATTAGCGTCCTCAAAAGGTGGTGTGGAAGTTCTCTATGGACCAGGGTGAGCTCTGGAAGGTTCCAGCACTGCAGACAGCCCAACCACGGGCGCATCTGCCGGTGGAGAGTGGGATGGGATGCACTGCCCACACCTCCCTGCCTGCTGCTGCACACAGGTACCTTATCGTCACGATCTGCCCCAGATCCAAGTCGTACTCGTTGACCTGGGCGATGAAGATGGCAGCGACTGCCTCGTACAGCGCCGTGCCGTCCATGTTGATGGTGGCACCGACAGGAAGGACAAAGCGTGCCACGCGCCGGTCTATGCCGTTGTTTTCCAGAAGACACTTAAGGGTGATGGGCAAGGTCGCTGAGCTGCGGAGCAAGGAGCGTTAAGTCATGGTTTGCCACAGCGTCACCAGTGCTGCCTTTGGAATTACTGGGCAAGCGCTGTAGGAATGAAAGTCCACTAGAAAACTAAGCAGTCATGTTGTACGGATTGCTGTACCAACAGAAGCCGTTTCTCGTCAGCTTACAGCACCTGGAGGACACAGAGCACACTGCTGGCCAGCAGTAAGGCTGCGGTGCTGATGGGACAAACCAGAGCCCCAGCCCTGCTGGGTCCCGCAGGGAATGGCCACTCTTCCTTCTGCCCATCGCAAGACCGGGAGCTGTAATGCAGGGGCTGCTGGAACAGGGTGTGAAGGTGCCGTGACCAGGGCAGCGCTGAGCATCCCACTTCCCACTGCTGCCGGGAGGGATCTCCTTCAATGTTTTATCTTTCTTGATGTCTGCAGTGCTTCTCTTCTGCCATGCCCTACGTGCCTCTGCGCCACCCACAAGCTACCCGCATCCTCTCCTAGCTGTACCCACATTTTTCAGCCACGTTTTCATACCTGGAAGATGTAGCTAAGGCAATCAGCAAAGCTTGCAGTATTCCCCTAATGAAAGCATAGGGGTTTTTCTTGGTGATGAGTGCAAAGAGCAGCGGTAAGAACACAAGCCCATGGATGGCCAGCCCTGACACCACGGTGACGGCATACAGCCCCAGCTTCTGGCCTGTCACCGATGGGTCTTCCATCTCCAGGATCTTCCCAGCAATGAGAAACACGATGCCGAAAGGGAAGTACCTACCAAGAATGAGGGCAAGCGTTCACAAAGACTAAGCAGTGCAGCAATGACAGCATTTGGGACGGCTGTGCTGCACTGAGTCCATTGCTCACAACAGATACTGCAGGACAGGCATCAGCACCAGCGAGCGGGTGGGGAAGGAGCAGAACCGATGACGACCCAACTCACCAGACAGCCATGGAGACGATTTTCATCACAGCTTCGTTCAGACACTGGCACACGTTGACCAGCGGCGCTCCTCGCTCACCCATCTTTCCCAGGAGGAGCCCTGCAGCCCAACGCATGGACCTGTGCTACTGAGCAGCACCCAGCGCGCAGCGCCCTTGGCTGTAGATGGAGGAATCTGGAGAGGGACGGACTGGCTTTTTGCTGACAGCTCCACCGCTGCCCCCAGTGCTGCCCTCAACTCGCTCCCCCCGCCCCAAATCCTCGGATTGGCTCTTTGGTTCCTGATACTCTGAGCTCAAGCTCCTCGCCCTCACCTCTCCCCATAATCCGCCCCACGCTGATCCCATCGCCTCCTACTCCTTCCCCCCCCGCTCCCTCCTCTCCTCCTGCAGGTACCTATGGTCGCAGAGAAGATGACGATCCCAAGGACGTTCATCTCGTTGCTGGTCCCTGGCAGGGTCCTGTACGTCATTTCGGGAGATGGCGTTAGCTCAAGAAACACGGGTCGCTGGATTTCAGGGTTTTCCTCATCCGGTGCAAAGTAAATAAAACTGAGGGATTTCCCTGGGATTGTTGGGAATCGTGGAGACTTCACCACTGGGACAATAACAGTTCGATACTGGGACAGAAACAAAGCAGAAGTTACTGTCCTGTGGGCAGCAGGCGCCAGTGAGCGGCCCTGCAGTGAAGTGAGAACCAGGGCAAGGAAACAGCAGCTGGCATTTGAGGCGGATCCGTGCTGGATCCCGATGTGGGATGAGAAAACGTTGTGATCCCTACAGAGGGGCCCCTCCAGCCCCGTCCTGGCAGCCCACAGACTCCCAGTGCCATGAGCTTGCTGTTCTCCCTGCACCCTGCCCATCTCTGCCCCGTCTCCTTCAGCCCAAACCTCATCACTCTCATTCTCCTGCTCACACCCCTCTGCCCTGCTCCCTGACCTCTGGGACTGGGGTGGGGGTGGGAGGGAAATGCGGGTGAGTTTGGGGACAGGATGGGAATGGGATGGGAATGGGTTACGGACAGGGATGGGATGGGGATGGGGATGGGGATGGGATGGGATGGGATGGGATGGGATGGGATGGGATGGGATGGGATGGGATGGGATGGGATGGGATGGGATGGGGATGGTGGTGGGACCAGGAATGGGCTGGGACTGGGGTTGGAGGCAAAACTGGGACTGGGGCTGGCAATGGGGCTGGGGCTGGGCTGGGATAGGGACTGGGGGCTAGGACTGCGACTGGGAAGCCACCACATGGCAGCAGGGCACAACTGTTGTGTTGCAGAGCAGGGAGGCCAAGGGCTGGTTGCTCACCTGCTGGAAGGATGCTTCCACCAAGTTGGAAGGGAACATGTTCCTGGAAGAGAGCAACAGCATAGAGGTTAAAACTGAAGGGAAACTGGACACGGCCCTGTGGGGCAGGAGGCTGGGAGGAGGACTGATGTGCTGCAGTGTTCCCAGGAGTCGTGGCCCACAGCCCCCACGCTGCTCCCAGACCCCACGACGCACCTGATCAAATCCAGCAGCGCATCGGCGGAGCTGAGCACCACCTTCCCTGCAGAGAAATCCTCCTTCTGCGCGGCCGCGCCGGGGTGGATGCTGACTACCAGGATGATCCCCATCGTCACCGCCATGAAAGTGGTCCAAAGGTAATAGGTGATGGTGATCACCCCCATCTTCCCACAGGCCCTGGGCTCCAGGGTGGCCAGCCCGGACATCAGGCTGTGCCAGGAAACACCAAACTCAGCACCGCTCCCAAACCGCATGGGGTCGGCGTTGGGGATCCTGATTGGAGCCCCCATGTGCCGCAGTTTTAAGAGGGAAAGAAGCCCAAGTGAGCCCCAGCTCTGCTCCCCTGCCCTGATCTCAGGGCCTGGCACCCGCACTCGGGCAGCTGCGTGCCCCGTCTCCTGGTCCTTCAGATGCAGACAGCGATAACTCACCTGGAGGTGATCAGTGGCAGGATCAGCATCTTCAGCATCCTCATGAGCAGCTCTCCAGGAAAGGAGAAGTACTGCTTCTCCTGCAGGGAGCAGAGCGTTGGGAAGGGTGGAAGTGGGGAGGTGGGCACTGATTGTGGGCGAAGGGCTCAAACTGGGCAGATTTCCTCTTTTTCCCAGTGGGATCCAGACATGAGCTCGGTTCCCAGATGCGATAATGTGGTTTCCCTCCCCATCCTAGGAGACCCCCAGAGCTGCTGGGGAGAAGAAATCCCACCCTATGGGGAAATCCATCCAGGAGCTGAGGAGGGGTGTTGAGTCAGTTCCCATCCCGACGGTCCATCTCCCTATGGCCCCACGGCCACACTTTGGTCGCTCCAGATGTTGCTGCACTTTTCCCTGGGAGCAGAGTGCAGAAATGCCCCCACCCCTCTGTGTGCCCACCTGCCCCCCTCCCCCTGGCCCCCACCAACTGCCCGTCCTTCCATCCCTCTACCCACGCACCCATCCTCCATCTGTCTGCCCCTCCATTCATCCATGTCCTTCCGGAGGCTCCTTCCATCCCTCCCTTCTTCCCTCCCTCCCTTCCTCCCTTCCTCCCTCCATCTCTCCATCCCTCCATCCATCCCCTGCCCAACCTTCCCCAGTGCCATGTGGATTTGTCTGCCACTGCGGGGTAGGGGCAGGACCAGGGGCAGCGGGATGCTGCCACTCTCACGGCCACGTGCATTGGGGTGCGGTGGGATTACACCCCGCTTCGGTTAAGTCAGATCATCCTCGCTGCAGGCAGTAATGCTGCAGGGTGTAATTGAAGTGACAAATGCCAAATCCCCGCAGGTTACCTTGGGGATGTGCCAGCAGCAGCTGAGCATCCCGCAGATGGGGGCTGAGTTAAAACCGCTGTGATTTTAGCATGATGACATTTAACGGCCCTTTGGGAACAGGAGGGGACCCCTGGGAATCTGCTGTGCTTTGTGCTGGGGCTCGCCTGGATGCTGAGCATCTGCAGCAGCAGTAGAGGAGCTGGGCTGTGGGATACAGGCACTGCTGTGCCACGTTTGGCCCGGAGCAGTGAGCGCCCAGCGCGGGGCACAGGGCAGCAGCTGCCCTCCCCCCAACCCCCCTGCAGCGTAGCAGGGTCCCCAACAGAGGGATGCAGGATTTGTCCTGCCGCTCTGTGGCCAAAAGATGAAGAAAACCCACCCGTGAGAGGCTGTTCCCTCAGACAGCAGCCTGCGCATTCAGGGCTGAGCCCTTCCGTGCTCCCTTTGCTCCCAGCCCATCCTTACCAGCTCCGTCAGCTCCAGCGCCCGCAGCAGGAAGCCCAGCAGGCAGCCGGTGGCCACCGACAGCATGGACAGGGTGAGGAGGCCGTTCTTGTGCCAGAAGGCCCGAAGCTGCGCCCAGAGGCGCGCGGAGCCCCCGGACAGCGAGCCCAGCAGCGCCGTGCAGACGCGCTCCCACATGGCCCCGCTCAGCAGCAGCTCCTCGCCCCGCACATCGCAGCGCTGGCTGTGCCAGCCGTAATCCCGGCCCCAGAGCTGCCCTGGGAGCCCTTCCCGTAATGGAAAGTGACGTCCTGCAGCGGTTAATCTGGGCTTGGCTTTCTGTGGGTGAGTGCAGTGGGGTTTTTAACCCTTCCTGTGGGGCCGCACGCGCCAGGAACGCAGATGGAGCCCCGTTCCCAGCACAGTCCCCGATCCAGAAGAATTCAGATCTGTTTCCAGATGTGGAGGCAGCATTTGGGCGCTGAGCACAACCCCATCCCACCCCACATCTGCACTGGTGGAAGTGCTTCGTTGGGGCAAAACCCCCCCCCCCAAAAGAAAACCAACCAAAAACCACAGATGGACCACACAGATCAGTGCCACGTTTCACACAAATCAAACAAAGCGCCGCGGGGCTCCGTCCGAAGGACTTTCCCAAACCTCTGCTCTGCAGGGCCGACCCTCGCAGCCCCTCCAGCATCGGAGCTTCAGCCTTTGGGGTCTGGTGGTGCTCCAGGTCATTCTGTCGGTGGGAACAGATGTTCGCTCATCGGCACTGCAGTGATGCAGCCGTCCCCATTCGGGCTGCAGAGCGCTCGGCAGGGCACCGTGGGTGTCTCAGAGGACATGGAAGGCTCTGCTTGAGGCACATGGCACCAGCAGTGCTTTACTCACACCTACCATACAGATCAACGTCGTCGTAGATGTCTCTGTCCCTGTGGGGGAGAAGCTGTGAGTGGTCCGGGCTCCCACAGCTCGCACTATGATGGGGCAGCTCTGCTGCTGCTCTGCTCCATCTCTGCCCCTTGTGCCCCCCCTGCAGAGGTGGGGCACATCTCTCTGCAGCCACCAGTGGCTGCCACAGCTGGGGGAGTTTGGGCCAGGGGGAATTGATGCTGGGAGGAAGGGCTGGGGAAGGGATACTCACAGGTGCAGCATCACAGCCCGGGGCACGTAACCATCTGCAACAGAGCGGGGAGAAGCGTGTGTGGGCTGCGCACCCCCAGGGGGGCTGGAAGGGAGCCGAGGAGCTCCAGGAGGGGAGCTGGGATCCCTCGGGAGCAGTGCTGAGCGTGGGGCAGCGGCCGACTTACACCTCCGCTGGCTGTTCCTGCAAAGGATCTGCTCCTTGTTGGTGAACTGAATGACGTCCAGGATCTCGCCCCGTCGGAGCGGAAGGTTCTTCCCCCCGCCCCTCTTCTCCGTCGTCGCAGGGTCGACCATCATCTGCGTCAGGACGGCGATGTTCCCTTCGAACTGAAACACGAGCAGAGAAAGGCTGCCGGAGCTCCAACCTCTTCCCCCATGGAAACAGCGCACGTCTCCGAAGCGCAGCGCCGTGGGTCCGTCCTGGGGGAGCCTCAGCGGGGCCGCCTGCTGGGCACCGCCTGCTCCTGGCCCACGCAGCCCCTCTGCACGGCGTCCTGCACAGCGAGGGGGGAGATCAGAGGGAAGAGCGGCCGCTCCTTTCTGCTCACCTTGAACTTCTTTTGAAACTCCCTGTCCGCTTTCTCTTCCTTCTTGCATTCCTTGAGTGTCATCGGCTTCACCTTTCGGGAGCTCTGAGCTCCTCTGCAGAGATGTTGTGAGTGGTGGGAAGGTTTGGCTCGCCCCCCCCCCCCCCCCCCCAATGCCCTTGCTTGGGTTTCTCCCAGCACCCAGAGGTTCCCCTCCATCTCCCCCAGGGCTGCTGGTGCTCTGTGCACAGGCCCTCACTGCAACTCCAGCGGATGCCACCAAACAACAAAGCACTTTGGGGTCCCAGCAGACCCACAGGAAGCGCTCACCCCCCTCATTACCTTTGTGCAGCAACCAGCAGCGCAACCGTGCTGGGGGCGCGAGCAGCACCTCCCCCTGTAAAACCAAGCATGGAAAGGGCTACATGGGGTGATGGAGGCTGGGAGCATCGCTTCCCATGGCCCCCAGGGTGCCCAAACCCCTCAGGTGCCATCTGTGTCCCTGAAAGTGAGCTGATGTCACCGGCCCCACTGGCCGCCCTCCATCCTTCAGGGCACCCCGACCCCCTTTGCCCCACACCCACCCCCTCTGCCCCCACCTCCTCTGGGGTGGAGATGTGCTGGCGGCCGGAACGTGGGGGGCGGCGAAAAGCTTCGGTCTCTCCTGAGCAGCTCAACGCTCTCGACGTCGTCATAAATCTCCTCCTCACCTCTGGGATGGAGCAGAGCACCGTCAGGGAGCCATTCAGCCACCCAGGATGATCTCTGCACCTCCGGGGTTGCATCACGGGGGGCCCCGACCCACCCTCCCACCATTCCTCCTTGTGTTCTTCCCTCTCAGTCAAAGACCCTGAAAATAAAAGTGCTTCCTCAGTACTGACCCTGCTGTGCTCAGAGCATCCCGCGGTGGGAACGGCGCTGGGTAACCTGGCACAGAGGGAGCAACAAGGGGTTCTTTGGAGTCTGCTGCTCAGCTCGGGGCTCAGGAACCCCCAGGCCAGTGCTGGAGCACAGCAGGGTGGGGGACAAAGCCAGCATCACACCCGAAGAGCGACCCCAGAAAGCAGCTGGGGTGTGCGGTTCTCCTGAGGAAAGGAGGAGGTTGTAGAGCAGCCCAGTCCTGGTGTGAGATGGGCAATAAGGAAACATCGCAGGATGGTGGAGAAGAACTTGGAGAAGTTGAGGGAGAAGCAGGATTTGAAAGAAGCTTAAAGCTGTTGGAAAGCAGCAAATGTGCTCAGCTCTGGAAGGCCATCAAGCTCAGCGGGGCCTGAGCCCAATGGACACCAGCACACCCCCATGGCACCAAGCCCTGCATCATGGGGGAGGAAGACACCAAGCTGGCAGTGTGGCCCCGTCAGCCAGAGCTCTGCCTGCACCCCATGCCGTGCCCATTCCCATCGTAGACCCAGTCCTTCCCATACCCAGCCCAACCTGTATCCATCTCCAACACATTTACATCCTCATCCCCATGCTGCACCCAACACCCCACTGTACCCATCCCCATCCCATTCCCATCCCCACACCATACCATTCTCACCCCTTCCCCACCTCATCCCCATCCCATCCCCATCCTCATCCTGTACCCATCCCTTCCTTGCACCCATCTCCATGCCATACCCGGCTCCAACACACCCCCATCCCCACACTCATCCTGTACCCACCCCCACCTCGTCCCCATCCTCACCCCATCCTCATCCCCACCCCGCACCCATCCCCATCCCCACGCCGTTACCCAGCACAGCACTCCGCGACCCCACAGCAGTGCGGCCGGGCTCCCCGGGGGCTGCAGCCCTATGGAACTTCTCCAGATCCACCCCCGGAGGCCGCCGGGGTTTTGCCGGCCTCGCTCCCAGCACCGCGACGTGCGGCAGCGGCTTCCTGCGCGGAGTTTGCCCCGAGCCCCGGATCCCACCGGCGGCGGCCGCGCCTGCAGCGGGGAGCGCCGGAGCGGCCGCGTCGTTGAGCAGCGGCCATTTGTGCGGGGCTGGGATCCTCGGGGGGGGATGGGAGGTGGCTCCGACCCCCTTATCGTCCGCCGCGTCCCGTCCTCCCGGCTTGGACGCGGGGGGTTGGGAGGCGGCCCTCGGAACGACGCCCTTCTTCAGCCGCGCCATCCACTCCGGGCTCTGGGGAACGGGCATCGGACGGGAGCCGGGCCCCTCACTCTGAGCTTCGCTGCGCGGCGGAGGGGCTCTGCCGACGCCCACCCTCCCGGCGAGGGGGGACGCGGGGGGCGGCTCCCCCTTGGAACCCGGCGTGAGCGCCCGGCCCGGCTCCGTCGCTGGGAAAGCTGAGGGGGGACCCCGTGCCCGTCCGCCCGCTGCGGGGGGAGGCTTCCTGCCGTCCTTCAGCTTCGCTCTCAGGTGTCTCCCCGCCGCCTCTTTCCCCTCCGGGTTTTCCTGCGGGGATGAAGGAAAGCTCCGATTCTGCCGTTACTGAAAAAAGCCGAGAACGCGGCGGTGCCTCCCCGAGCCTGAAAGGTGAGGAGCGCCCTGAGCTCCGGCCAGTCCTGCAGCCGCTCTGCCCGGCACGTCCCACCGCCGCCGGGGCCCCAATGCCGCGGGGTCGCGCACCGCTCTGCCCCGATCCGCCCCGAAGGAGCGGCTGCGCTCCCTCACAGCAAAGCGCCGACGGCGCTGCCGGAAGCCGTTTTGGCTGAGGGCAAAAAAAAACCCCAACAAACCAATAACAACAAAAAAAAAAGAGGCCGAGAAGCGGCGGATCTGCCCCACTTTTCTGAGCGGAGCGTTTCCTGCGCTGCTCACCCCGCGATGGGCGCACAGAACTGGGGCGCACGGCCGCGACGCGGCGTTGTCCCACGAGCATCGCGGGTACCGACCCGGATCGACCCGACCCAGGGGGAGAGGTGATCTTCTCCCCTCCATCTCTTCTCCCCTCCTCCTCATCTCCCTTTTCCTTTCTGTCCCCCCCCCGCTCCCGGTCGCAGCACTGCACACATCGGGGCTCTGCTCCACCCGCTCGGGTTCTGCACTTCTCCTCCTCTCTGGATTTCGGTTCGGGCTGCGCTTGCATCACTTTGTTTTCTTTCACAACAGAAGGGCCGGAGCGCAGAGAAGCCAGCGCGACATTTTCAGCCGTGAGAGCTCAAATGTGGGGCATTAAATAGGTATTAAATGGGGACGGGTGCCCATCGCCCCGGGCACAGCCCGCCAAGGGCTCAATGGCGCACATTGGCCGCGTCCTACAACGTAAGGCAGCGAAAAAAAAGCTGATAAAAGGGGATTTCTGCAGTGTTCCGAGCACGCCGTGGGGTTTTGGATGTGAACCGTTCCGGTGTTCGTGACCGTCAGAGCCGTTCTGTGAACGGGGACACGGAGCTGCCCGCGGTGGCGCCGTCGGGGAACGGCACCGCTGTCACAGCGACCGGTGCGGCAGCTTTGGCACTGCGGTGCTTTCTCCTCTCTGATATGTTTGAGCCCCTCCCGGTGCTGCCCGCTCCTTCACCCACCCCGGGAGCTGCTCATGGAGCTCCGGAGCTCTGACTGACCCCGTGTGTGGCTGTGAGGACGTGAGGGTGCAGGTCGGACCCGGTTCTCCCGCACGCATCCCGGCAGCTCGCACTCACCATTTCCCATCCACGGCCGCTGCCCTGTGAGCTCTCCTCCCTCCTGAACACCATCGCGGCCGTCCGAGCAGAAGGACCCGAGGGGGGTGAACACCTCCGGCGGCAGCGGAGCTCCTCGGGGCTGAAAGCAGAAGCTCTTTCCTAACGCTGGCTTGGCAAGGAGCTGAACGCAACGCCAGGAAGCGGCTGCGGCCTGACTGCACAGCGATGAAGGGGGGTGGCGGGGAGCGGCTCCGTGCCGTCGATGGGGACGCCGAGTGCCGCTGCTGCCCCGCCCAGAAACGAACGTGGGCTTTGGGAGCGACCCGAGGCCGTAGGATCGGCACAGGACTGCGGAACGGCTCAGATTCGGGGGGGTCTTTATGCCCACCCCTGGGGATGGGGACACCCCCGGCAGGCAGAGCAGAGCCCCGTCAGCGGCGGTGGGGAATTCCAGGGTGGTGAGCAGCACCAAACCCAACGGGAGCCAACGGGGCCGGGACAGCCGCATCCTGGGGCCGGGAGTCCCCACCGCCTCCTGCCCGCAGAGCTTTGGGGACGGCGGTGAGGAAGGAGCTCAAGGGATGCTGTGGGGTTGGTGAGCTGGAGGGACACGTTGGGAGGCTGAAAGGCTGAGTTTGAGGGTGGGGGTAGGAGGGGATTCGGGGACAGAGGTGATGAGAGGAACCTCAGCGCTGTTTGGAGGGGTTGGAGGGCAGGGGGGTGCCTGGGGGTGATGGGGGGCGCCAAGGATGTGTCAGGGTAATGGGGGAAGGGGGCTGCAGGGCTGTGTTTGGGGCACAGAGAGCATTGAGGGCCACGGCTGGGGCACAGGGAGAGTGAAGGGCTGAGTTTGGGTCATAGAGTGGAAGAAGGGCTGTGTATGGGGCACAGGGATCATGGAGATCTGGGGCCAGTTTCAGAGTGGATGGAGGACCGTATCAGGGGCACAGGGAGGATGGAGGGCCATATTTGGGGTATTGGGTGGATGGAGGGCTGAGTTTGGGGGCAAAGAGTGAAAGGAGGGCCATGTTTGGGACACGGGGAGAGTGGGGAGCTGTTTGGGGCACAGAGAGGTTGGAGAATCGTGTGTGGGGCACAGTGGATGAAGGGCCAGGGTTGGGACACAAGAAAGATAGAGGGCTGTGTTGGGGGCATGGAGTAAATGGAGGGACAAATGTGGGGTGAAGGAAGAGCGAAGGGCTGGGCAATAGAATGATGGAGGGAGGGCTGTCTTTGAGGCACAGGGAGGATGGAGGGCCATATTTGGGGCATTGTGTGGATGGAGGACTGAGTTTATGGGCACAGGGACAACAGAAGGCTGTATTTGGGGGCGTAGAGTGAATGGAGGACCATGTTTGGGACACAGGGAGGCTGGGGAGCTGTGTTTGGGGTGCAGGGAGGATGGAGGGGGAGCCCTCATTGTGGCCTTCCAGTACTTGAAGGGAGCTTATAAACAGGAAGGGGAACGGCTGTTTATGATGGTGGATGGTGATAGGAGAAGGGAATGGTTTTACAGTGAGACAGAGGAGGTTTAGGTTGGATATGAGGAGGAAGTTTTTCACACAGGGCGGTGAGGCACTGGCACAGGTTGCCCAAGGAGGCTGTGGATGCCCCATCCCTGCAGGCATTCAAGGTCAGGCTGGATGTGGCCCTGGGCAGCCTGGGTCTGGAGCCCCCAGTTCAAGAAGACAGGGAGCTGTTGGAGAGTCCAGAGGAGCCACAGAGATGAGCAGGGGCTGCAGCACCTCCTTACAGAGACAGGCTGAGGGAGCTGGAATTGTTCAGCATGGAGAAAAGAAGGCTGGGGGTGACCTCAGTGCAGCCTGCAGTGCCTGAAGGGAGCCTGCAAACAGGAGGGGAATCAACTCTGTGCAAGGGGAGATGGCAGCAGGACGAGGGGAAATGGTTTGAATTGAGGGAGGGCAGATGGAGGTTGGATGTCAGGGGAAGTTCTGTGCTGTGAGAGCGGGGAGGGGCTGAACAGCTGCCCAGAGAGGCTGTGATGCCCCGTCCATCCCTGGAGGTGTTCAAGGCCGGGTTGGATGGGGCCCTGGGCAGCCTGGGCTGCTGTGAAATGGGGAGGTTGGTGGCCCTGCAGGGGGTTGGAGATTCACGATCCTTGGGGTCCCTTCCAACCCCGGCCATTCTGTGGTTCTGTGGTTGGCGGCCCTGCACACAGCTGGGGGTTGGAACCGATGATCATTGTGATCCTTTTCAGCGCAGGCCGCTCTATGGTTCTGCGCTTTGGGGCACAGAGCGATGGAGGGACGCATTTGGGGACAGAAAGAGGAGCAGAGCCGCGCTGGGGACACGAGGAGCCCGGAGGACCGCGTTCGGGTTTCGGGAGCAGCGCCCCCCAGCGGCGGATCTCGGCGGTGCGGAAATGACCGCGGTGAGCGAGCTCCGCCCGGCGGCGCTGCGCTGCTCTGCGCATGCGCGGCGCGGGATGGCGGCGGCGGCGGCGGGAGCGGAGGCGGTGGAAGATGCGGGCGGTGCGGTGCCGTGTGCGGGATCGGGCCGCGCTGCTCGGCTGCCGCTGTCCCGCGTGAAGGCGCTGGTGAAGGCCGACCCGGACGTCGGTCTGGCCAGCCAGGAAGCCGTGTTCGTGCTGGCGCGGGCCGCGGTGAGGAGCGGGGCCGGGCGCGGGGCGGGGCGCGGCGTTCCGTTCCGCTCCGTTCCGTTCCGCTCCGTTCCTCCGTGCGACGCTGCTCGTTTTGTGCCCGCAGGAGCTGTTCGTGGAAACCATCGCTAAGGACGCCTTTGTGTACGCCCAGCAGGGCAAGAGGAAAACCCTGCAGAGGAAGGACCTGGGTACGGTGCGGGGTGCGGGGGTCCCGTCCGTCCCGGCGGCTTCGAAGGGAAGAGAAATGATGCAGAGCTCAGCTCTGCGTTTCGTCCTTACTGTCATTAAGTGCTGCATGCTGCACAGAGCAGGGCTGGTTTTGTAGCGTTCGGTCCTTTCCCTTTGCAGATAACGCCATCGAGGCCGTGGATGAATTTGCCTTTTTGGAAGGTGAGTTTCGGTTCCTTCCCGCATTTTTTCTATAATCCCTTTCTGCAGAGAGGAGCACAGAATGGTTTCCCCCCAGGGCTGTGTGCTCGCACAGCAGCAGTAGCCCCGTATCCTCCTATAGACCTCCTGCAGGCCCCTGTCGCTCCATAACCTCTGTATCTGTGCTTATATCTGGGCCTTCTAGCCCCACATCCCCCTATAGTCCCTCCTATAAGCCCATAGCCCCCTATTTCCCCCTAAACCCCCCCTCAGCCCCCTATCTCCCCATATCCCCCCTATGGCCTCCCCATGGCTCCCTATAGCCCCATATCCCCCATTTCCCCTCTGTAGTCCCTTTATCTGGGCCTTCTAGCCCCACATCCCCCTATAGCCCTCCTTACAGCCCCTCCACAGCCTGCTGTCTCCCTATGCCCCCTCCCCCTCCTCCCATAAGCCCTGTATCCTCCTCTATCAATCCTACAGCCCTCCATAGTCTCTATATCTGGGCCTTCTAGCCCTACATCCCCCTATAGTCACCCCAATAAACCCATAACCCTCTGTAGCCCCCTCCCACAGTTCACTATCTCCCTATATCCTCCCCATATCCCCCCTACTGCTTCCTATAGCCCTATATCCCCTATTTCTCCCCTGTAATCCCTTTATCTGGGCCTTCTAGCCCTATAGCCACCCCCATAACCCTCTGTAGCCCCCCCCACAGTCCACTATCTCCCTATATCCTCCCTATATCCCCCCTAATATATCCCCATATTCCCCTATTCCCCCCCAGAGTCCCTATATCTGGACCTTCTAGCCCCACACCCCTCCTATAGCCCCTCCTATAAACCCATGGTCTCCTATAGCCCCCCCCACTGCTCCCTGTAGCCACATATCCCCCTCTATTCCTCGTACAGCCCCTATGGCCCCATATTCCCCTATTTCCCCCCCACACAGTCCCTTTATCTTCTAGCTGCATATCTCCCTATAGCCTCCCCCTATAAACTCATAGCTCCTGTATCCCCCTATACTCCCTTTCACAGCATCCCTATCTCTCTATATCCCCACTTCTCCCTATAGCCCCTTGTCCCCTTATATCCCTCCTACGTACCCCTATAGCCCCGTATTCCCCCCTATAGTCCTATATCTGGGCCTTTAGCCCCACATCCCCATATAGCCCCCCCCGTAGACCCACATCTCCCCCTATGACCCTGAGTTGCAGTTGTTCGTGTAGCTGTATTTCTGTTTCCTTTCTGGTCTCTGAGGCCATGTTGGTTTATCTTTGTTTTCATTTTTAGGTACTTTGGACTGAGTTGGCCAGAAATGGAGTTCTCTGCAGAAAGGGACTGCAGGCACCAGTGTGGGGTGGCAGGCAGGATGCCAAGGGTTGGCTGTAGTTCCTGGCACTGAGACACTGAAATGGGCAACCGTAATACTTTGTACCAAGTTTAAGTCGTTGTAAGTTCATTATTTAAAGCACATGGTTTGTTTCTCTGTAAGTATTTCGTATGACTTTGAACCCCGTGTTCTGCTGCTGCACTGCAGGCTGCTCCCCAGCCCTGCCTTCCAGGGCACCACGGAGCAGAGAGCTCAGACCCCGAGGCACAAACCTGATAATTTATACGTATCTGGTGGTTTATAGATATGTTCTTAAAATGGAAATGTATTTTTCTTTGTATGTCTTTCCTTGGGCTTTTTTGTTGTTGTTGTTGTTGTTTTACCAATGCAATTAAAGGCAGTTTCTGAGTTGCTGTCCTGAGTGCTCCTGAGTGCTGCTGTGCTGCTCCATGGCACCAGTGTGCTTTGGCAGGGATGCTCTCCCGTGGCATTTTGCTGTGCTGAGCATCTCCCCGGCATTTCTGTCTGAGGAATCCCAGCTCTCCTCCAGGCACTACATATGAGCTCCAGAGAGGCTTGGGTTGTTTTGGGGGCTGTGCAGCTTCCATGCAGTGACGTGATGGCTGCGCCCGCAATGATCACGGTTGGATGATAATAAATCCCTGGTTTTGAAGGCAATGTCTGATGTTAAGCTGCTCTTCTCCTTTGCTCTCATTGCTGAACCTGGCAAAACGCTTCCCCTGGGGGTGGATCTGCTGGGCTGGGCAGGTGGGGCTGAAGCCAACCTCTGATCTCTGAGCACGGTGCTGTCTGCTGCCAAAGAACCTCTCTGGGTTTGAGTTCTGGTGCTGCTGAGGAACAGATGTGAGTTGTTGTGGGTAAAACAGCCGCTGAATGCAGGCAGTGGGGGTGGAGGGTTTGTGTCCCTTTGGGATGAGACTTGGAGGCGGCCGAGTTCCCGTGGGCTTCGTTGGTTGGAAAGCAGTGGGAAGGACAGAGCAGCGTGGGGAGGGCTGTGAGCAAACCTGCTTGCTCTCCAGCATCCCTGCAGGTGTGTGCAGAGCCGAGATGTGGCTGCTGTGCTGGAGATGCCACCATGGTGCAGGCAGCAAGTGGGAGCTGTGTGCCAGTGACAGCAGCGCCATTCGTCACTGAGATGCTCACCTTCTCACCTCCCGGACCAGGGAGGGCTGAGGTAAGAACCTGGGATGCTGCGGCCCTCCTTGCCCTTCCCAAAGCACAGCAAGTGGCCCCGTGAGGCATCGTGGTGTGGGGAGAAGAGCTGCCTGGTGCCTTCTGTGCTGATTCAGGCTCATAGGGATGCGTGGTTTTGTGTCTGATGTTTCCCTGCTGTGCTTTTTTTGCTGGGCAGCTTTGCCCACAGCAGATCAGTCAGGGTTTGCCTTTGGGCCGAGCCCATGAGCTGCCTCAGGAACACTGGGGTGATGTCCTGAAAGGAAGACATGGCTCCATTTGTTCACCAAGGGTCCGTGGCCTTCAGGAGCAGCTCTGGTTTCAGTTCCCTGTGCAGCTGTGAAATGTCAGCACAGGTGGTGCCAAAATCACTTAGAAATGAGAACTGCAAACTCGATTGTCCCAACCAGAGCAAAACCTTCTGCTGGGGTAAAGCAGAGCTGGGTCCCTTTGGTGCTGCCTTGCGAGTCTGCAGATCAGAGGGAATGGCATCCATCCAATCCAATGTGTCTGCAGGGACACATTGCTGCTCCATAAGGCTGTCAGGCAGTGTGAAGGGCTGCTTTCCAGGGCTGGCAGAATCTCTGTGCCCCACAGCTGTGCCAGGGAGGTGCATTTGTCCCCAAGCTGGTCGGTGGATGGTGCCTCATTCAGTGATAACGGCCCAGCTGGGAAATGCCCCAGCTTGGGTTCCCCACTGCCCTGAAGGCGTTTTCCTTCTGCGTTTCTGCTGCCAAAGCTGAACGTTCAGCCCTGGCACTGGAGAATGGGGGTCCTGGGGAAGGTTGTTACCGTTCTGTTCCTGCACGCTGCTTGGAAACCCACGGGAGGTGATGGCAGCATGGGGAGCTGTGGGGTGAATTCCTGAGGTTGGTCCCTGCCTACAGCAGGGGGGCCGGGCAGCCCCTTGTTGCCCCTCAGCCACGAGGTATGGTGGTAAAAACGTCCCACGTTGCAGCAGCCTGGGGCTCTCAAGGATTTTTCCATCGGTGCCTGAAAGCAGCCAGCAGCCTTCGTTGGGGGCTGAGGGTTTCTTTCCGAAGCCGATTGAGGGAGCAGAGAGAGATTTATTTGAGAAGCAGTTTAATGGTTGGACTCCGCATCCCCAAACCTCCTCCCTGTGGGTCTGCCTGCCCCTGGCTGTGGATTGGGGCCGTCCCCCGGGGTGTCCCAGCGAGGTGCTGAGGGGGATCTTCGTGCCTTTGTGTTGCAAATCTTTGCAGGAAATTGATGTGGGAAGGAGCTGCTGCTCCTCGGCGGATCCCCGCCTGCTTAGGTAAGCACAGCTGCCTGCTGCCCCATCCCACTGCCCTGCAGTGATGCCCTGCAGCTCCTGGGCTGATTTTGGGGATAACAGCTGTGCAGATCGAGGGCAGCAGCCTCTGCTTTGGCTGCGTGCAGCCGTGCAGTGAAGCGGGCTGAAGAGTAACTCAATGGAGACGATGGGGCCCCACGGCAGCAGATGAGGATGGGAAGGAGATGCTGAGAGATGCTGCCCTGACATCAGAGCTGCTCTGATGCCTGTGGGGTGGGATGGGGACAAGAGAGGGATGCTCCACTGGTTGGTTGAGGAGGGAGGGGGGTGCAGGTCAGCCCCCCAAAGACAGAAATCCCAGCTCTGCATGGGCACTTTGAGCAGCACTGAGAGGAAGGGACAGACGGCCCTTGGGTGATGAAAGCAAAGCTGGGGCACAGGGGATGGGGGGATGTACAGCCCTGCACAGAAACGGCTGCTCTGGGCCCATCTGGCAGCGCAGGGGTGGGGGGTCTGCAGGTGGGGCCACTGTGAGACCCCCGCCAGACTGTCTGTGCTGTATGTAAATGGCAGAAGGTGACTTTTATCAATGAGAGCGGCTGGTTTAAGCAGGGCTCGTTAGAAATGAACCCTCTGCAAAATGGTTGGCAGCTCGTAAGGTAAACATTGCAGGCAATTGGCAGCTCTGCCCCAACGTCCCGGGATGCTGCCCTGCACGTGTGGCGTCTGGCACTGCAAGGCCAGCTGCTCTGTGCACAGCATGGGCAGAATTGGGGTGGGAGGGGGAGCAGCCCCAGCCCTATGGGATGTACTGCTGCTGGCGGGCAGGGAAGGGGAAGGAAAGGATGTGGAGGATGTGAAGTTTCCTCTGCCAATTAACCCAAGCCTGTCGTTGCCTCTTTGTGTATTCTGGATAATTAATGGCCCTTTCACCATCAGAATGTGGGGTTGGGGTAAATGACAGATGCCAGCTGGCCGTGCAGCTCTGGATGCACTGCATTAACGGCTGCCTTCACCGGCCGCTTTCGCTCTGCCGGGGGGGGGGAGGGGTGGGCACTGGCTGGGCTCTCATCCCGTCGCACCGATCCCACAGCCGCGAGAGCACGGGGACAGGAGGGGATGCGGCCCGGTGCAGCCTGGCTGCGGTGCTCTGGACCCATGAGTGCTGCCATTAAAATCCAGTCGGTTTCCTTTGGAGAGCAGAGGCAGTCGGGGCCGCCGCGCAGAGGCTCGCAGCCGGACCCGCGTCCCCCCAGAGCGCTGCTGCCAGCCCTCCCCTCCCGTTGTGTACTGGGGCTAATTGGTGCAGGGTGCCCATCTTTGCACCTTGTTAGCACGGCGATTAGCTCTCTTTACCCTCCTGATCGCCCATGTGCATATTTGACTCCAATCCATCTTTCCAGCGAGTTATAAATGCGGCGCCGGGTTTGCAGAGGGGAGTGAAGCCGGGACAGCAGAGCCATGCTGGGCGCCGTGCTGCTGCTGCTGGCCTTGGCACGGCCGGCATCCACGGAAAGCCGCAGGGCCGAGGCTCTCAAAAAGCTGCTGGAAGTCTTTGGCATGGAGGACCCCCCGCCCCCCCCGGCCCACGTCAAACAGCCGCCGCAGTTCATGGTGGATCTGTTCAACGCGGTGGCCAACGCCGACGGCGTCACCAAAAACCCCGACGTCCTGGAGGGGAACACGGTGCGCAGCTTCCTGGATAGAAGTAAGGGGAGGGGATCCCTGCGGTGCTGGGGCCGGGGTGGGGGGGGGGGGGGAGATGGGGCCGTTTGGTTTCACTTCCCGATCCGTCCCTCCCCGCAGCTCAAGGTGAGAAGATGCGGTTCCTCTTTGTCCTCTCCAGCGTGGCCAAGAATGAGAAGATCCTGACGGCGGAGCTGCACCTCTTCCGTCTGTGGCCGAGAGCCGCCGAGGGGCCCAGGAGGCATCACTTCTGCCAGGTGAGGGGGGATGAGGTGTGGATGGGGGCAGGGACGTGCCCCGCTGTGCCCAGCAGCGCTGCCGCCGCCGCTTTCTCCCCGTCTTCATCCTTTCCCCGCCCTCCCCCCAGTACCACTTCCACCCCCCCCCCACGCCATGGCTGCTCACCTCCCTTTGCCTCCATCCCCAGGTCAGCGTGTACCAAATTCTGGACAAGGCTGAGCCGGACTCCCCCAAAGGACAGAAGCTGCTGGCAAGCAGGCTGCTCTCACTGCAGGGCTCGGGCTGGGAGGTCTTTGCCATCACGCAGGCTGTGAGTGCTCTTACACCGGGTGTATGGATGGCACAGAGAGAAAAAATGGTCATTTTGCATCCAAGAGCCTTTTTAACCCATTTCACCCCGTTCTGGGCATGCAGTGCCCACCTGAGGTTGGGGTGTGCAGCCTGTGGGGAGGGGTGGGAGTGCGGGTGGGCGCCCCGTTGTGGTGCTGGTACTGCTGCTGTCCACCGTGACACATTTTGGGGACATGGGGACACTGCCACAGCCCCATCCCACCGTGGTGACACTGTGTTTGCTTCCCCAGGTTCGGGATTGGACCCAAGATGAGAGCAGCAACCGAGGTTTGCTGGTGACGGTCCACAGCCTGGGTGGCAGCACACTCGAAGCCCCCGCCGTGCAGTTCGCATCCAGCGGGGACCACCACGAGAGCAAGAAGCCCATGCTGGTCCTGTTCACAGATGATGGGCGCCGAGGAGCATCCCTGCCCATGGCCGGGGTCCCAGGTGGGTGCCACACAGCAGGGGGCCGTGCCCAGGTCCCTGCATGCAGGCTTCAGCTCTGCCTTAGCCTGAACGCGGCCGTGCTCAGAGCTGTGGCCGCGCTGGTGACCACCGTGGGGCTGCAGAGCTGTCACCTCCTGGTGGCTCTGCACCGACTGCGCAGAGGGGTGGCCAGCACCGCCGCTCCGCTTCCTCTCTCCTTTCAGGCTCGTGCAATCACTGATGGAATCGTTTTCTTATTTCTGACAGCCTCACAGCCTCGGGATTTCCCTGCCAAGCTGACCGGGCCGCGCAGCGCACGCTCTCTGGACCGCCTGCAGCCGTGCCAGAGGCACCCCCTGTCCGTGGACTTCGAGGAGATCGGCTGGTCTGGGTGGATCATCTCCCCCCGGGGTTACAATGCCTACCACTGCAGAGGCTCCTGCCCCTTCCCCCTGGGTGAGAACATGAGGCCGACCAACCACGCCACCGTGCAGTCCATCATCAACGCCCTGAAGCTGAGCGAGGGCGTCAGCAGCCCCTGCTGCGTGCCTGACAAGCTCTACTCCATCAACCTCCTCTACTTTGATGACGATGAGAACGTGGTCCTCAAGCAGTATGATGACATGGTGGCTGGGAGCTGCGGCTGCCACTGATGCAGAGATTCCCTCCCCCATTGCAGAGCAGCTCTGCAGGGTCTCTCTTTGGCACCGCTGTGGGTTTTTGCAGAACAAAGCAAAGGGGTGCACAGCTGTGACCCCGTTGGTGCTGGGAAGGCTCAGGGTTGGACTCAGGGCTGATTCTGTGCAGGGTTGTGTGGGTTTTCCCACCTGTAGTGGCTGTACCATATGTATATAGTGAGAGCACTAATATATGACTGAAATCGGTGTCCTGTAAATGTCTGTACAGTGCTGTGTTTTGTAAAGTGAACTCAGAGGAACTATTAAACGCGCTGTTGTCAGTGGGGCTCCCTTTGAGGTGATGCTGCCCGTGGGGTGGGTGATGGATGCAGTGGGTGCTGCTGCGCTGGCCATGCTCTCCAAGCAGCACAAGGGGGGTGAGAGCACGATGCCATACGTGTGCCACGCTTTGAGAGAACAGCAAAGCTCCTGCTTGGACACAGCAGAATCACAGAATGGCCAGGGTTGGAAGGGACCTCAAGGATCATGAATCTCCAACCCCCCTGCCATATGCAGGGCCACCAACCTCCACGTTAAATGCTAATCCAGGCTGCACAGGGACCCATCCAACCTGGCCTTGAACACCTCCAAGGACGGGGCATCCACAACCTCTCTGGGCAGCTGTTCCAGTACCTCACCGCTCTCTGGGTAAAGAACTTCCCCCTGATGTCCAACCTGAATCTCCCCTCCCTCAACTTAAAACCATTTCCCCTCGTCCTACACATATCAACCCTTTCAAAGAGTTGATTGCCCTCCCCTCTGTAGGCTCCCTTTAGGTATTGAAAGGCAGCAATGAGGTCACCCCGCAGCCTTCTTTTCTCCAGGCTGAACAAGCCCAGCTCCCTCAGCCTGTCCTCACAGGGGAGGTGCTCCAGTCCCCTGATCATCCCAGTGGCCCTGCACAGCAGCGTGCAGGAGCTGGTGAACAGGGGGAATGTTTGACTCCCTGCTGTCACCACGCTTGCTGCGCTGTGCCAAAACCTGAGACAAAGCACAGTTTGGGGCTGCTTTATTAAACCTTGCTGCTGGGGCTGCTCCCCAGCTCAGCACCCCACATGCCTGGGGTCGGGGCAGCAGCACTGCGACAGCTTCTGCAGGATGCGCTGCTTCAGATGGAGCCGCCTGGAGAGCTTCAGGGAGAGGCTGCTCTCGTTCTCGTGTGCCTTCAGCTTGGCATAGTAGTCCGAAAACTTGTTGTAGAGGATGGAGATGGGCATGCCGTTGAGGATGATGCCAAAGGAGATGCAGCCAAATGCCACAATCCGCCCCAGCACCGTGTCGGGCACTGTGTCCCCATAGCCCACGGTGGAGAGGCTGACCTGGGGGGGAATCACAGAATCACAGAATGGCCTGGGTTGCAAAGGAGCACAAAGATCATCAGTTTCAACCCCTGCTGTGTGCAGGTCGCCAACCAGCAGCCCAGGCTGCCCAGAGCCACATCCAGTCTGGCCTTGAATGCCTGCAGGGATGGGGCATCCACAGCCTCCTTGGGCAGCGTGTGCCAGTGCTTCACCACCCTCTGGGTGAAGAAATTCCTCCTGATATCCAACCTAAACCTCCGCTGTCTCACTTTAAAGCCATCCCCCCTTATACTATCACCATCTACCCTCATAAACAGCCATTCTCCCCCCTGTTTATAAGCTCCCTTCAGGTATTGGCAGGCCACAATGAGGTCTCTCCAGAGCCTTCTCCTCTCCAAGCCAAACATAGGAGAGATGCTCCAGACCATCTTAGTGGTCCTCCTTGAAGAAGGAATGGAGAGGATGAAGCGCTGTGTGTTTGACATTGCTGCTGCCCCACGAGCTGCTCTGCAGCCTGAGCTGCTCCCCTCTGCACGTCCATCACCCACCCACACTGCAGCTCCAGTACGGGGCGACGCACCGACACAAAGCCGTGCAGACTGGGGGCGCTGCAGCCCAGGGCTCGGGCAGGAGATGAGGTTTGAGCGTGGGTTTGCTTGGGAAAAGGAGCACGAGGAGTACAAGGAGGTGGGACAAGAGAAGGGCTGGCATCCTCAACTTTGCTCCTCGCTGCCTCCACCCCATCCCACAGCCACACCGCAGCCCTCCGCCCGCTCCTTACCGCTGCCCACCACCACGCGTAGGGGATGCTGGTGAAGTTGGTGCCCGGCACGTCGTGCTCCACCGAGTGCATGAGAGCAGAGAAAGTGAAGACCCCCATGGCGATGAAGAGGAAGAGGCAGCAGACCTGCTGGTAGCACTGCCTCATGGTGAAGCCGAAGGCGCGGAGCCCCGTGGAGTGCCGTGCCAGCTTGAGGATGCGGAAGATCCGCATCAGCTTGATGAGTTTGAGCACTTTGCCCAGCTTGCTCACGTTCTCCATTTTGTGCAGCTCCTCGTGGTACAGCGTCTCTCCTTCGTCCAGGTTTTCAAAGAGGATCTGGATGTAGAAGGGCAGGATGGCCACCAGGTCGATGGCATTGAGCGCCGCCCGCAGGAAGTTCTTGAAGCTGGAGGAGGAGATGAGCCGCATGAGGTACTCCGAGGTGAAGAAGATGGCGCAGATCATCTCCGTCTGCTCCATCCACTTCTTCCCCGTCTTGTGCTTCATCTCCTCCACCGTGCTCAGCGTCATGCCCACGATAGAGATGAGCACAAAGAAGCTGGACATGACGGCGATGATCTTGGCCGGGACGGATGAATACGGGTTCTCAATGAGGTTCCAGATGGCCCTGCGGAACTTCCCCAAGCATTTGCCCTCAAACTGCCCTGCCGAGTCCATGGGCTCCAGCTCTGCCTCCAGCTCCTTCTGGATCTTCAGGTACTCGCTGAGCTCGTCCTGCTTCTCCTCAAACAGGATCCGGCAGCAGCGCTGGGCGTGCTTCAGGTGGATCCCCCAGTACTCGATTTCCTCCACGAAGTTGCTGGGGCACATCTCGTCCATTATCCACAGCACCCCGCTGCAGTAGAAGTGGAAGATGTAGTGGAAGATGGAAGGGTCTCTGTCAAAGAAGTACTCGTTCCTCTGCACGCAGTAGTCATCACAGAGCTTCAGCTTCTTCGTAGGGTCGGTGCAGGTGGCCAGCTTCCCCAGCCTGGTGACGGGGTACCGGGCCACCACTCTGCAGGCGATATGGAACAGCTTGCCACCCACATTGATGTTGAGGAAGTACTTGTTCCTCCGGACCGGGACCTTGCTCTCCTCCTGGCTCCGATCTGCCACGTTCTGCATGGAGCTCCATTGCTTCACCAGGCTGTCCTGTGCAAACGGGATGTGCAGCTCCTCCTCCTCGGCCGTCCGGCCGCCCCGCCGTGCCGCAGGCTTCAGGCTGGCACACAGACTCGCGCGTCTCCTCCCCAGCTGCCCCATTGCTATGCTATCCCAGCTATGGCGTGTGGGATGGCAGCGGTGGCTTCATGGCCGTGCTGCCCCACACACCGACAGCTGGGACTCTGCCCCGAGCTGCTGCCCACGGGCCCTGGCCGTGTGGAGGCACCTGCTGGGTTCCCAAAGCTGATTGCTGAGCAGATTGCACTGCAGGAGCTGCGGGCAGCTGAGCGTCCGCTCCTTAAGACGCTAATGAGATTGGAGCACGAACCCTTTATATAAGGAACTAATTCCAGCCTTGCACTTTTCCCTTATTCTGTTTTCGTTACTTGTGTGTGCTTGGTGCACGTCACAGCACTGCCCAGCAGGACACCCCTGGTGTTGGAGGCATGAGGTCGGTACCAGCTTTGTAAATCCACAGCAGATGCAGCTCTTGGCCCCAGCTGTTGGTTCAGCACGTGAGCACTAATGCAGCTGCCCCTGTCCCATCTCTTCCATCACCCAGAGGAGGGAAGCACTCAGCACCTCTCCAGCTCAGCCCTCAGAACCCCACAAAGCTGCCACGAGGCTGAAAAGCAGCTCCAGCCCTCAACAATCGAAGCCATTGAGCCCAGAGAACAGAAGAGAAACGTTTCTGGCACAGAACAGAGGAAGGGAAATCACTGTCACAGATGCATTCCAAGTTTTTGTCTGAAACCCAAAACACCGGCTTGCTTTCAAGCCTAAAACACTCAGGGGTCAGTGAGCAAAGTCGAAAGCCTGCAGAGGGAAGAAGCTGCCCCTCCCACGTTCACACTGCAGCCTCGCTGCTGAGCACAGAGCCCAGCAGAGCAGCACAGCACGGCTCAGCTCAGCAGCTCAAGCTAAGAGGATGATCCAGGACAGGCTGCTGACAGCTGACCTCTGCCATACGGCCCCGACACCACCAGCAGCCCTCCCTCAGTCCTGTTGGGACACCTGAAACACCCCCTGCCTTTCATTTGCTCTAAAGCAGAAGGAATAAGCTCAGGCAGTTTTCTCTCCACCTTATTCTCAGGCTAAGAGCTCCATTTGTCACCTGTTCAGCTGCAGCAGCTCACTGTAAGCACCAGCTGCACACCTCACACCCACTGCTCCGTTCACCCTGCTCCCCAAATTTCACTTTCCCCAGTTCAGCCACTGCGCACTGCAGTCACAGAATCACAGAAGGGCCTGGGTTGCAAAGGCCCACAATGCTCATCAGTTCCAACCCCTGCTGTGTGCAGGTCACCAACCAGCAGCCCAGGCTGCCCAGATCCACATCCAGCCTGGCCTTGAATGCCTGCAGGGATGGGGCATCCACAGCCTCCTTGGGCAGCCTGTGCCAGTGCCTCACCACCCTGTGTGAAAAGCTTCCTCCTAACATCCTCCCTAAAACTCCCCTTTGCTCCAGCTCAGACCCGGCTCCTGCTGCCCCCATCTGCCCACAGAGACAAAAGAAATGCAAAAAACAGGCAAATTCAGAAGTCGTTCCAGCTTTCCATTCTTTATTCTCCCATATCCTTCCCCAACAGCCACCTCTGCTTGTCCCCAAGGTCACGCACACAACCTCTTGGTGCAACAAACACCGATGCTGCAACGTGCCCAGCTGCTCCGTGGGTGACAGCTGCACACTTACATGCTACACAAGAGCAGAATGCCCTGCTCTGGGACTGATGGGCAGCTTTGCTCAGCCCAGCAGCACAGAGCAGCTCTGTGTCCTCTGTGCACTCACTGAGCCCTTGGCAAGGAGCACACGGAACAGAGATCAGCACTGAATTAGAGGCACAGGTCAGGGATCTCTTGTCCTGTTTTCTGCTGGGACAGGGCGGCTTTCTCAGTGTCTGGTGTGGTGCTGTGCTTTGGGGAATAAAGGACATAAAGAACACTGCTAACACTCTGTGCTCCAGCTGGGCACCAGCCAGCAGGTGTTGAGCAACTCATCGTGCAGCATTTGTTTTGTAAATATATATAAATTAATTACTTTCTTTTTTTCTTCTCCTGCTGGGAAGGAGGGGCTGCGTGGTGCTGAGCTGCTGCTGGGTGACACAACACAACTCCAACACTGTCAGTTACACAAAGAGCACAGCACAGAGCCATGCAGAAACAACCACAAAGCAGAGCTCACAGAGCAGAGCTCTCACAGCATTTGACCCAAGGAACTCGTTATTTCAAGCTGAAAGCAAGACACCAAACACTCAAAACCTCCAGCAAAAGGAGGCTCAGGGAGCACACATCTGATGTGTGTGGGTTCAGTGAGCTCTGCTGAGAGGGGTGGCAGAGCAGCACCTGGCACTGCACCTTCATGGAGAATTAAACCTACAGGTTGAAGGCCACGGTGAAGAGAAGCAGCATTAATAATCCTTGCAGGCAAAAAGAGGGAATTTCTGTGATCTGCAGGAGGGGTGATTTCACAGCGCTGGGGAAGGTCCTGTCCTATTTCGAGTCCCATAGTGCTACCATCTAAGAGTCATTTCCAATGGGAGATCCGAGTACAACAGCAAATCAGATTCACGTCCAAATTCAGCCAGCTTCCACGGTGAGCAGCAGGGAGAGCAGTTCAGTCCCATCTTACCACCTCACAGAGAAAGATCCCTGTTACAGGAAACAAGACCGTGGTTGTTGGCAGCCCTTCTGCCGTGAAATCCAGTTTTGTTCAGTTTGTAAGTCTGGGAAATCAACCCACAGCAGGAAATCTGCCCTAGCATGAATGCTGAGAGCCCTCAGCAGCACAGGAAGGACATAAGAGTGCCAAAAGAAGGCAGCACCTTCTCACAGGAGGTCATGCAGGGATCCTGCAGCCAAACAGGAGCTCTCATGTCTGGTAGTGAGGAAGGCGAGAGCTCTGCTGCTTCAACTGAGACGGCGGGTGTGTGGCTGAGCAGCAGCACAGAGAGCTGGGAAAAGCTACCCAAGGGAAAGCTCTAGTGCTAGAAACACAGGGCAGGAAGCAGTGCTCCCTCACGTGGGGGCAAAGAACTCACCTGTCAGGAGAACAGGTCTGCCTGGCTCTTGTCAGGCACCAACTGCTCCCTGGAGGCATTTTCGAGACTGAAGATGTCAGACCTGCTTTTTGCTTTGGACTTCCCCCATGCAGCGATACCACCCACAGCTACCAGGCAGCTCAGGAGCACTAAAGAGAAGAGTGCATAAGCAGAGAACCACTCACTGTGCCTGGATATCTGCACCAGGCACTGCTGCTCGATAGCATTAATGAGAGACCAGCAGCCTGAAGAATAATGGACAAAGAGCAAGGCAGTGTTAGTGCCAGACCGCATGGAGCCTTAGGGGAGGATCTCTGAGGTTTTGACACTCCCTCAGGATAATTAAGGTGAAACCCTGCCAAACAAATGTTGATTTGTATTACACTATAATACCAAGCACAAAATGCAGATATATATCTCATAGAATCATGGGTTGAAAAGGACCACAGTGCTCATCCAGTTCCAAGCCCTTGCTGTGTGCAGGGTCGCCAACCACCAGACTAGGCTGCCCAGAGCCACATCCAGCCTGGCCCTGAATGCATGCAGGGATGAAGATATTTACCTATCCGTACATTACTGGTGATTAGGTGTGATGATATGCATTGTGTTACATCCTAATTTAGCATGAAAAGTGAGAGAAGAAGAGAGAAAAGAGATAAGGAGAGAGAAAAAGAGATTGGATTGGAGGGGGGAAAGAAAATCCAGATCATCACCCTCAGCTCCAGTATAGTTTCCAACCCAACAATATTTGTGTGGTGGGTGCACACCAGACCAGTGAGTCACAGTCCTTACCCTTATTGCCAAAAGGTGCATTTCACATACATAGGAGTGGATTACAAGTGAGGGGGGAATAGGTGGGACTTGCATTTGTGCATGTGCAGAAGGGCAGCATCAGCTCCTTCCTCCAGCTGAGACAGGGGACACAGAGACCCAGTCTCTTACCACACCGGTCATGTAGGCACCTCTTGCAATGGGGAAACCTGCCCACGTTTGTGCTCTGAGTCTCACATACCTGCAACGATCACCATCCACATGCGGCCGTGATTCCTGGACGGCAGAGCACGCCCGGGTGCAGGGACAGATGAAGCCTCTGAGATGGAAAAAAGCAAAAAGTCCAGCAGGCTCCCAGCACCGTGCACAGCAACCTCCAGCCCAAACCCAAACAGGTGCCCAGCTCACTCAGGAGCGCCAGCACAGCTGTATCAGCTGAAGCAAAGCCTTATGCGCTGTTACTATCATCAGCCCATGCCAGCAGTTGGGAGCTGGGAAACTTTCCTCACCTCTCTTAGACTGAGAGAACTGTTAGGGTAGGAGGAAAAAAAGCCAATGAGCAAACCAAGCAAGCAGGAAAGCTTGATTAAAAGTGGCTCCTGAAGCAAGACGGCTGCACCCATTCTGCCCATAGGGCCAAGGAGAACAAAGCCCAAGGACAAGTTATTTCCTATGAGAGTGGTGAGGTGCTGAACAGCTGCCCAGAGAGGCTGTGATGCCCCGTCCATCCCTGGAGGTGTTTAAGGCCAGGTTGGATGGGGCCCTGGGCAGCCTGGGCTGCTGTGAAGTGTGGGGGTTGGTGGCCCTGCCTGTGGTAGGGGGTTGGAGATTCATGTCCCTTGGGGTCTCTTCCAACTCAGGCCATTCCGTGGTGACCAAGGGCAGCCAGCATAGCAGGGAAGCAGACGCTTCAAAGCTCTTCCTGAGGAAGCCCTGTGGCGCCTCAATGCTGCACAGGAGGTGGGGCTGCTCAGCATTTCCTCTGCTCAGCTGGGTGAGCACAGCCCAGGGCGAGGTGTGATGGATGAGGCTGCTTCAAAAGGGCTGAAAACACGGAGGGAAGGCTCTGCCAGTCAGCCACAGCTCTTATCTTTATAACAACACTGCAAAGCTGTTCCACTGCACTCTGGGCTTTATGGCAGCTGTGTGGCATTGCTGGGAGGAGATATGAACCGCAGGAACTGCTAGAGGTGCCCCAGCCACGGCAGCTCCTTGCAGCAGGTGCACAGCAAAGCATCCCGGAGGTATCTGGGGATCCCCAGAGCAGCAGACTGCCCCACCGCTCCGGGCAGTTCGTGCCGGGGCCCCGCATCTCTCAGCACGACGTTCTGCTCCCCGTTCATACGGAACTCCCCCCAGGCTGCACCGTGAACCCGGTGCCCCGCCTCACCGCCCCGTCTGACCCCGCACCGCAAGTATTGAGCACAGGGGCTCCCAGCCCATCCCGGAGACCAAGGCCAGCCCCCCCAGGAAGGCCCAGCCGTACCCGTATCGCCGGCGGTGGGCACGGCGGTGCTCCCGATCCCTCCGCAGTCCAGTTCGTCCTGTTCATCTTCGCAGTCGGGATGACCGTCGCAGAGCCACTCCAGGGGGTAGCAGTCGGTTTGGGGGTCGCGCAGAACCGAACAGTGGAACTTCTCGGGGGGGCACCGGACCAGGGAACCTGCGGGGCGGGCGAGCGGAGAGGAACCCCGTCATTGGGGAACCCCGCGATGGGGAACCCCGTCATTGGGGGAACCCCGCCGCCCGTTCCCGGGGTGCTCGTGAGCCGCGCGCAGCGCCAGCCAATGAAAGCGAGAGAGCCGCGGACGGCGTCGGCCAATGAAAGAGAAGGGCGTGCGCAGGGATCCAATGGGGAGAGAGGACGGCAGGGAGACGCGGCCGCCCGCACTCACCATTGCCGGACGCAGAGGAGGGCAGCGGGCGGAGCGCGCGCAGCAGCACGACCAGCACCGCCAGCAGCCGCGCCATGCCGACCCCCGGCCCACCGCCGCGCGTCTATAAAGCGGGCCGCGGGAGGGCAGGGCGCATGCGCGACGCCCCGCCCCTCGGCCAATAGACGGCCTCGAGCCGGCCCGCGACCTTCAGGAGGCCCCGCCTCCTCCGCGAGGCCCCGCCCCCTCGGCGGACATCGCGGCCCCGCGTGCTGCACGCGGCGCGTCGTGTGCGTGAGCTCGGCTGCGCCCGGCGGTGCGGGGTGCGGATCTGCTGCACCTCGCGAGGTTCTGCCGGGCGGCATCCCGTCCCTCAGGCGCGTCTCACTGCCAGCGTCATCGATGGAGATATTAAGCAGCGTTTGCCCCGCTGCTCGTAGAACGGCCTGGGTTGAAAAGGACCACGGTGATCATCTTGTTTCGACTTCAGGGTCGCCAAACAGATCAAAGCCCAGCCCAAAGAAACCAAAAAATCAGTGCCCCCAAATAACTGTGAACTAGTTTGCTAAGGGATCACACGGTCGTTGTATCGGTGAGGCTGCAGTAACTCAGCAGACCCACTGCGATGCGATGCTGGCCAAGGCTTTGAGTTAATGCCTTTTCCCCTGAGAACGTGGCATCTTTGAGGCTGCTATCCTGAGTTAAAGAGAGCACCAGGAGGCATTCATTGGTATTGAAGATGTCTCCCAGCACAGGGAGGACGTGGAGCACTTGGAATGGGTCCAGAGGGTCTCTAAGATGATCAGAGGGCTGGAGCAGCTCTCCTATGAGGAAAGGTTGAGGGAACTGGACTTGTTTGGCTTGGAGAAGAGAAGGCTCCGTGGAGCCCTCATTGTGGCCTTCCAGTACTTGAAGGGAGCTTATAAACAGGAGGGGGAACAGCTGTTTGTGAGGGTGGATGGTGATAGGACAAGGGGAATGGTTTTAAACTGAGACAGGGCAGGTTTAGTGTGGATGTTAGGAGGAAGTTTTTCACCCAGAGGGTGGTGAGGCACTGGCACAGGTTGCCCAAGGAGGCTGTGGATGCCCCAGCCCTGCAGGCATTCAAGGCCAGGCTGGATGTGGCTCTGGGCAGCCTGGGCTGCTGGTTGGCGACCTGCACACAGCAGGGGGTTGGAACTGATGATCACTGTGGTCCTTTGCAACCCAGGCCTTTCTGTCATTCTATGTTATGGGGCTAGGGGTGGACAGCTGCTCAGATGGATAACAGATTTGACAAATTGGGGAAGCAGAGTAGGCAAATGAGCTCATACCCTTACAGAGATATGTCAGCAAAACTATAATACTCATCGCCGACAGACATCACTCACCACTGGAACTCACTGGAAGAGCACAGGGCTGGGTGCTGGGCTGTGGGACCTGCAGCTGGTAGGGTGAGCCTGGAGGGGCCTCTATCCCACCTGACTGCTCTGCTCTTAACAGTTGTCCTGGGAAGTGTTGGTAAGGGCTGGATTCCTCCCAGCCATGCCAAATGTCTCAAGGTGCTTGGTGTGCTACGAGCCAGAGCAAAATCTACACCAACCATTCAAGTCACAGCTTTATGGGTGTGAAGGCAGAATGAAGTGATGGATGCTAAGCCCATCAGACCAGACTCTGAGGCTACTGAGAGCTAAGCAGTGCCACAGTTAATGGATATCTCTTACCAGAACATAAGAGTGCCAGGTGTGTTGTTCAGCTCTGTCCATTAGGGATATCCCAGCTGTGTTTCTGGGTCTCCTCTTGCAGGAGTTTACATCACAAGCAGCTCATAAACATGCCAAGCCCAAGCTTGTACATCATCCTATTACCCTCTTGAAATAACTTCACATCCAAAACAGCATTAAAGAATAATTTCAGTAACTCCAACAGAACAGACAAAAGGGGAGAACAATCACAACTTTAAATATATTTATTAGTTGTGCGTGCAAATATGTTCTGTATAACATCTCCATAGCTAAATCCACTGCAGGCTTACCATCAAAGTGCTGCTTTTTAATGAACCAAGACCTGTACATCCAGATTTATCACACTCATTTCTCACAAGTAGGGCTGGTCTTTTGAGATTTCCCACTTCTTAAGCACCGGCCCTGGCGTCACTGGCTTTTTGTCAGTTGCTGTCACTGCAGAGCTTGAGCTGGGGTAGAAAAAGAGAAGATGCTGTACTAGAGAAAAGCACAGACAATCACTTCAGTATTCTTTTAAGCTATGAAAGCTGCCAGCACTGCTTGTTATCACAGAATCATAGAACAGCCTGGGTTGAAACAGATGTCAAAGATCCAGCTTCAACTCCCCTGCTATATACAGGGTCACCAGCCACCAAACCAGGCTGCTCAGAGCCACATCCAGCCTGGCCTTGAATACCTGCAGGGATGGGGCATCCACAGCTGTAAGAAGAGCAACGTTTTGGTGCAAACCATGAGGCTCACACCAGCTCTGGGCAGAGGGGCTCCCACCTACCTGCTGCCCCCAGCCCCCGCTGCGAGGGTTTTCAGCCCCGAGGCGACCACGATAGGCGGGCCCGCCTCCCGGCGTCCATCCCGGGTGCAGTAATAGTTGTCAGCGAATTTGTGGCTGGGGCCCACCGGGAGCCGGGGCGGCGGCTGCGTCCTGCAAAGGTGTGAGAGCTCCAGCACAAGGGCTGCTGCCAGAAGGCCTCAGCGCCGCCGGGTTAAAAGGGAGCAGCGCCGCCCCCCCACACAACGGTACCTCTTGGAGATCTCCGTGTAGCGCAGCGCTAGCTTGGCCTGGAGGTCCCGCTGCAAGGCAAGGCGAGAGAGCCTCAAGCGGAGGCCACCACAGCGCGGCCGCCGAAGCTCGCCAGCAGCAAGCAGGACGCGCGATGCCGCGGGCCGGAGCCGCCCTTACCCCCGCCAGGAAGTTACGGAGCCGCTGGATGAGCCGGGTGGCCGTCGCCATCTTGGCTGTTGTGAAGGGCAGCGAGGGGCGGGGCGGGAGGGCGCGGTGCATGTTGGGTCTCGCGAGACTTGGGGAGACATAAAGCGGGAGGGGAGGAGGGGGGTTTATGTTGAACGTCGCGAGATTTGGATGTGCGCAAGGTGAGGCTGTGCAGCGGGAACGCACGAGGTTTGCTAAGTCTCGTGAGATTTACTGAGTCGCGCGCGATTTACTGGATCCCGCGAGCTTTGTCGCTATATAAAGCGGCGCAGGGAGGCCCCTCCCCCTTCCTGCCGCCAGAGCCGCCATGGACACGAGCCGCGTGCAGCCCATCAAGCTGGCCAGGGTGGGGGCGAGGGGCCGCGAGGGGCTCCGGGGGGCTCCGGGGGGCGGAGCGATGTCCCGGTTCTGACGCGCCGCTCTGTGTCCGTAGGTCACCAAGGTGCTGGGCCGGACCGGCTCCCAGGGGCAGTGCACGCAGGTGAGCGGGCCGCTGGGCCGGGCCGCGGGACCACCGAGCCGCGATGACGCTTTGCTTCGCCTCAGGTGCGCGTGGAGTTCATGGATGACACGAGCCGCTCCATCATCCGCAACGTGAAGGGACCGGTGCGAGAGGGAGACGTCCTCACCCTGCTCGAGTCGGAACGCGAGGCACGGCGGCTGCGCTGAGCTCTGCGGGCCGCCCCAGCTGCACGGCCGGGCCCGCACCGCGCTGCTGATGGGCGCTGCGTGCGTTTGGAGCGGCCTGCAGCGAGATGGAGAGCAGCGCGGCGTTGGTGGTTGCGCAATAAAAGTTTTTTTTCCAGTAGTTTTTTGCCTGCTTATTGAATATTTTAGCTTTATAGGTGCCTTTGTGTGCGGGTCAGCCTTTGGTTTGGGGCTCAGTAGGGGGACCAAAGCCTGCTCTTGGAACTGTGCTTGTACATGATGCCTTCATCCTGATGTTGTTCTGTTCCTGTATTTTTGGTTAACTTGTTACTTGCAACAAAGCTAACCTTATTTTGGTTACAGCAACCTCGTTTCAGACTGTTCTGCTAGCTCTGTATGTAACCAGCAGGGAGGTACTGCTATGCTTGCAGTTCCTCTATAGAGTTCTATTATAATTTGGGAGGCAACTTACCAGCCTGCAAAGTAACTGCCTGCTGCCTCAGCCTTTCTGTCCTCTGTAAGCAATTCCATCAGTGCTGCTATAAATACAGCTCCTTGCTGTCTTTCCTGGCAGTCACCCACAGAGAGCAAGTGTTACCTTTCCTCTTCGAGGTGTCAGTAAATCAACATCAGTGCCTGCAGCTTTCGCTTCTGCCACAAGATCAGCCAGAAGAGTTTATTTTAGGCCACTAAATAAAGGTAGAGGTAGGACAAAATATGAAGAGTCGGTCTGAAAACTGTCACAGTTCAGGTGGGAATCTTTGTCTTCCTTCAATGCCCTGAACCTCATTAAGGCACTTCAGGGACCAGGAGGAAAGCTTGAGCTTCCAAAAGCTGAGGAGAGCATTTGCAGAACTGAATGTTCCAATCACTGAGCTTAGGATTGTCAGGTATGTGCATGTGCTGTTGCTTTATCTGGTTCTTGTTTCCTCTTTGATGTCCCTTTAATTTCAGATCACAGAGTGAGCCTGCCTTTCCTTGGTTCTTGTGGCACAGCAGAGCTCTCCAGGCCTGGCTCAGTGCAAGGAGAGGCCTGCTGTGGAGTTCTCTTATCTGGCTGCTTTTCATTCCCAGCATAGCATTGGCCGTGACCAAAGAATGTGGTGTGCTGAGGACAGGCAACAGAGCAGAGCTGCCTGCTGTGCTGCTGAGTGGCACAAGGCATCAGCTGTGAGCAGGTGACCAGGTGGGCATGCATTTGTAGTGAGTGGGGAGGCTCGGAGCAGCTGTAGCCCTCCCCACGTGTCTCTGTGTGGTCACTGCACCCTCCTGCCCTGCAAGGACCTCGCAGCCTGGTTCTGCTCTGTAGCAATACAGCTGTACAGCGATAGCAGCAGGGAGCAAAGGGCTGCACCTGATCTCGGTGTTACATTTGCTTCTGTGAAGTGAGACAAGCCAGAAGCCATCAGTTCACAGGACCTGAATCCAGGCTTCGGGTTTTCTGCTCTGAAATAAAAAGCACCACGGATGGATTTTGGTAGTTCAACAAACCTGTGGGGTTGGAGTGCAGAGGGCCGGGGCTGTAACCAGACAAAGAGGCAGGAGAGTGTTGATGGTGGCTGTAATATTTCAAAATAAGTTTAAATTTTATTTGTCTTAAAAATAAACACCAGTATAAAAATGTCAGTAAACAGATGTGTGAAACAAAAGCGGTGAGTATGGAGTACATACAGAGCGGTGTACTGGAGAGTGGCTGCAAGCATCGTGTAGTAACTTCAGTGCAAAGCCGAAACAAGGTGAGAACAGCGCTGTGCTGCCCGGAGCAGCTCTCCTGGGAGCATTTCCCAGCCGGTGAGCTGGCTCAGAGCCGGCCTTGTGTGCCTCAGTGGAGGAAGAGGAGCCAAGGGGCAGCAGTGGGGGCTGCAGCATCGCTTACCTTAGAGCGGGGCCTGCTTCGCATGCAAAAGCCTTCTTGTTCTGTTTGCTGCCAGTCCTCGTCCTCACCTTGTCTGTTCCCACCCTGCCTGGCGCACGCACACTTGCACAGACACACATTCCTACGTCCGTGTCCATCTCTGCAGGCCCTAGGCTCTCTCTGAGCTCTTGCTGCTCTATTTCTGGAGCTAGCAGCCCCGCTCCTCCCCTTGGGGAGGGCAGGCAGGCTTGTGAAGGCAGCGACGGCCCCCGGATGGTTGGTGGCTGTGGGACTTTCAAAATGGGAAATGCTTGTGGGCTGACTCTCATCTCTGTGGCTCCTGGCGCAGGCTGGGCAGTCTCAGTCCCCAAATGCAGCTGTGGCTCTCATCTCTTCTGTCAGCTCGGCTGCAACCCTGAGCACCCAGAAGTTTTGGCTCCCGTTGAGCAAATCAAATCATGGAGTGATTTGATGTTCAACTTTATATATATATATATATATATATATATATATTGCTTAGTGTGTGTGTATATATATATATAATTTTTTCTTTTGTGTGCATGTGTTAGAGAAGAGCCAGGTTTCTGCTGGGAAAGGAAATGCCAGGAAAGACGAGCGCATATTTCAGTCTGCAAATGCTCCTGTGGCCGCAAGGCAGCTGCTCCGTGTCCCCTCTCCCACTGCTGCTGCTGCCTGCCCTCCCACAGCCCTGCAGAGCTCCTGCAGCTGCAGCGGGACGCTTCCTGCACTGAGGCCCAGGACAGTGCCTGCTCTGTCGAGCGGAGATGGAAAACATCCGCAGCCTCAGGGAGCGATTCAGCACGCGAAGGAGCAGCAGGAAGGGGGACAAGTGACAGCCTGGCTCTGATGGCGGCCCGCTGGCACGCAGCCGGATCCAAAGGTCACTTAATTTGGTTTCTTTGGGCTCACAGGGCTCTTGGTGCCCGCTGTTGACGTCCCCTGCTGCGGAGAAGGAGTAGAGTCAATGAATGGCACCACAGACCCCTCCAGTGGCTCCTGGTTGGGGCCGGCCAGGCTGATCCCCTGCCACCAAGGCTGTGCTGAGCATCTGCCACCCATGGGACGCTGCTGTTGCCTCCACAGCACCTTCCTTGGGTACCGTCAGCTGCTCTCACTTGAGCCACAGCCCCCTTTCCATCCCGCTGTGTCACCTGCCCGCTGGGCAGCCCTACTGGCGGTGTGGTGCCACCTCCGTGTCCCTTACAAGGGCTGAGGGGGCTGCAGCACTCACCTGAGGCTGTGCCTTCGTCCCGTTGAGGTGGGCATACAGGAGCACTGCAATGTTGCTGTGTCCTGCCTCCAGCGCGATGGTGACAGCGTTGTTACCATCCTAAGGAGGACAGGAGAGCAGTTGGGAGAGGTTTGGGTCTGGGTCTGGGGGTGGGTGCGTGTGCTCAGGCCCTGGCAGAGAAGCCTTACACTGTCCACGATGGAAACGTCGCAGGTGGGCTGAGCCAGCAGCAGCTTCACAGTCTCCACGCGGCCGTGCTCGCAGGCACACATGAGTGCAGTCGAGCCTTCCTCATCCTGCAGGTTCACGTCGGCCCCGCAGGCCAGCAGGGCTTCCACCATCTCCTGCCGCCCGTGGCTGACGGCCAACATCAGTGCTGTCTGGCCGGCCTGTGACACGAGGAACACTGCCAGGATGGTTCTACCCCAGCTGGGCCACCTGCTCATCCCGCAGCTGTCCCCAGTGCCCACGTGGGCTCTGAGCGCCTCCTTGCCTGATGCTGGGTGGAAGGAGCTTCCTGATATGATGCCCTCCCCAAATACCGGCCCCTCGGGGTGAACTCAAGTGAGCACGGAGCCAGGAGCTGCTTGCAGGGGATCAGGACGTAGTGGCCCCCAGCTTACACCAACCTGGCTGGCCTTGGCGTTGACGTTGCCCATGCTGAAGAGCCTCCTGACCACATTCATGTCGTCTTCCTGCTCCACGGCCGCCAGAGCTGCCAGCATGAGGGCTGTGTAACCAGCTTTGTTCTGGTGGTCCACATTGCAGACCCCTGTGGGAAAGGGCAGAGGAGGGGTTTGGGGCGCTGCTCCCAGGGCATCCCAGCAGCGGGATGTTTATGGGGCTGTGCAGACTCGGGGGCACCCACCTGTGTCCAGCAGCAGCTTCACAATGTGGAAGTTGGAGTGGGACACGCTGTAGTGCAGGGCTGTGTTGCCATTCCCATCGGCCAGGTTGACCACGTGGGCCAGGAGAGCCGGTGAGAGCTCAGCAAAGGCCAGGAGGTGGTTGGCAACCGTGTCGGGGATGGATGACTTCTGGCTGGACAGACGGAACCACTCCTGCAGGACCAGGCTGCTGCTGGCGAGCTGCAGGCAGTGAGTGGGGCTGAGCCCCTGCATGGGACAGAGGCAGGACCCCTCAACCCAGCCCCATGGAGGGACAGCCCAGAGTCTACGTGGGATTTTGGGATCTCAGGGCCATGCTTTGGGAAGGAAAGTGCTGCTACGAGCACTGCTGCCCATCTTAGGGGAGGGCTGGCCTGGTGGTACCCATCCCACCCACAGCACCCAACTCACCGCCTCCTTGCTCTTGGTGGCTGTGG